TAGTAATAGTTGTATAGTAGTAGTAGTAGTAGTAGTAGTAGTAGTAGTAGTAGTAGTAGTAGTAGTAGTAGTAGTAGTAGTAGTAGTAGTAGTAGTAGTAGTTCTAGTAGTAGTTCTAGTAGTAGTTCTAGTAGTAGTAGTAGTAGTAGTAGTAGTAGTAGTAGTAGTAGTAGTAGTAGTAGTAGTAGTATTATAGTAGTAGTAGTAGTAGTAGTAGTAGTAGTAGTAGTAGTAGTAGTAGTAGTAGTCTAGTAGTAGTAGTAGTAGTAGTAGTAGTAGTAGTAGTAGTAGTAGTAGTAGTAGTAGTAGTAGTAGTAGTAGTAGTAGTAGTAGTGCAGTAGTAGTACAGTAGTAGTACAGTAGTAGTACAGTAGTAGTACAGTAGAAGTACATTAGTAGCACAGTAGTACTAGTACAGTAGTAGTAGTACAGTAGTAGTACAGCATGGAAACTACCAGTCTGCAGTGGAAATTACCGCGAAACTACCGCTGAGGGAATCGAAATTACCACGAAACTACCGCTACCAGAGTCGAAACTACCACGAAACTACTGGTAGTTTAGTAGTAATTACCGCGAAACTACCGCATTATGAATGGTAATTTCGTCGAAATTACCGCTAAATTACCGCTGCCGGCGGAGCCGGCTCCAGGCCGGGCGGAGCCGGGCCCAAAAAATTTCAAGGCCGGGCACGGCCCCGGGCCTGCCTCGACTAGAAAATTTCCGGGCCTGGGCCTGCCTCGGCCCGAGCCGCGGCTCGAAGTTTGCTACTGGAGGGTTGCAGGTTTAGGCTTCAGGGTCGAGGGCCTCGGAGCTGCAGGGCCTAGCTTTCGGGTTGAAGGTAGGGGTGCAAGGCTTTAGGGTGTAGGGTTGGGGCTTTCGGGTTTAAGGCTGAAGGGGTGCAGGGTTTTAGACGGGTAGGCCCTGCCCTAAAACCCTAAACCCTACCCTAAACCCCAAAACCTTAACCCTACCCTAAACCCCAAAACCTTAACACTACCCTAAACCCCAAAACCTGAACACGCTGCTTTTTTCCGGGTCGCCACAGTGCATGAGTGCCGGTGCCGGCTGCTACGGAGTTCCACCAGTTTTGGTGCTCGTGTCCTACAGCCTACTGTAGTGCCATAGGAATCTGGCGCCCTCCAAACCCTGCTCCGTACGGTCTTAGGGGTGCTCCCTCTCCAAGACCCGGTCCGCCACACGGAACATGACGGACAGCACCTCGAGTGCCGAGCCCTGTGCCGAGGCTTTGGCCTGAGCTGCCATCGGTGCAGCTGCCGTGCTCGGTGCAGCTGCCGTGCTTGGTTTGGGCGGCTCCACGAACTCCACAGACTGGGACCGCCGTGCCCGCTCCTGTGGTGGCAGCCCCTTTGGCGAAGCAGGCCTCCTCAGATCTGGAGGTGAGCGAGGAGAGCGGGATCGCTCCATTTGCTGGAGCTCCTTTTCCCAGGCCGCATCAGCCTCTTGCACGGACGCTTCCTCTGAGAGTCCGTGCTTGGATCTCAGATGCTGAACCAGGGCCCATCGGGACTGAACCCACTTGCGGCACATGTGTTCGCCAACCCGTGGGCACCAGCACCAGGTGGCGGCGGCTGTCAAGCGGACCTCCGGCTTCGGAGTGGCCCTGCTGCTCTGAGAGGGGCTAGCTCGCCTCTCCGGCCGCTTGCGGGGATCTCGAGATCGTCGTCTGCTGTCGCTGCGGCGGCTGGAGCTCTCCTGGCTTGGGGTTCGTGCACGGTCGCGGAGCTCCTGCTCCCTCTTCCTCACAGCCTGCTCCCTGTCCTTCAAGTCTCTGACTTTTTTCTCGTAGTCCTTCTCGCGAGCTCTGGCGGCCTTTTTTTTTCCTTTCTGGCAGCCCTCCTCTTTTCCTTCTTTTGCTTTTCCTCTTCGTCCTCCGCAGGGGCAGGTGGCCCTTCTGCTGCCGTGCTCTGCAGCAGTCCTTCGGCTATTTCCGTCCTCTCCGGCGGCCCTGGCGAGGCTTTTGCAGCCGCCTTTGCAGCCTCCGCCTCTTCTCGGGTCGGGCAGTCCTTCTCGGACTCCTCCCCAGAGGAGCTACGAGCCTCGGTCCGCGGCCCCGGCATCGCAGCCACCAGTGTCCAAGGACCCGCCGGCCTGACAGGTGCAGAGTTAGGGATGAGGGCTTGGCTTTGGGAAAGGTTTGGGGGGGCGTTTATGTTCATCGAGCCCGCCAGCAGCCTTCCAGGGAGCTGGTCTGGAGAAGGCCTTTCGTACCTTCGCCAGCAGCCTCCCCGAAAGCTGGTCTGGAGAGCCGTCGTCGCCAGCAGCCTCCCGCAGGGAGCTGGTCTGGAGAGCTGTCCTCGCCAGCAGCCTCCCTCTTGGGGAGCTGGTCTGGAGATGGAGCCGTCCTCGCCAGCAGCCTCCCGCTTGGGAGCTGGTCTGGATTTTTTTTTATGTTCTTTCGATTGGCTTGCTGCTTTCGGATTTTGTTCCTATAATGACTAAGAGGTTTCTGAACCCGTGCCGGCCTCTTGCACGGAGGCCGCTGATCCCGCATCCCCCGGGGCTTGAACCGAAAAGGGCTACGGGGATGGAGTGCAGCTTCAAAGGAAAAGGCCTCTAAAACCAAAACATGCTGCATGATCTCTACCGCTTCTGACCTGTAGCTTTCGTTGTTCTTTGTTGCTGCACAGTCGCTGCGAGCTCCAGGCTCCCCGCCCGAGGCACACAAACCTTCTAGCTGAAGTTACTTGCTTCTTGCCGGCTCCTTGGCCGCAGAACGGATAAAGATGAAGTCTGGATCTGCACAGATCCCGGGCTCAGCCGCTCAGCTGACTGCAACAAGACCTTTCAGCAGCTCCTGGGTCTCCAGAAGCTTGGTTGCTGCACCCGTCAGCACAGATTTCAGCTGAGCCAAGCTTCCCTTGTTGGAAAGCTTGAAGGTCTCAAGCTGTGACTGCAAGGGAAGCAGCTGAGCCCACTTCTCGTCCAACTGGCGCTTCAGGTTCTGCCACGTCTGCGAGGTGCTGCTGTTCAGCCGATATGTCGCCTGCTTGAGCTGCATCAGCCAAGTCAAGGCCTGATCGATCTTCTCGATGCATTTCTTGTCCAGCTCAGGAAGCATGCCGGGCTCCGGCTGCCTGTCAAGGATGGCCAAAGGGGGCGGCGGGGTTCCTGGCACTGCGAAAGCCGCCGGGGTGACACTGCTCGAGCTCGGCGGCACCACTTCAAACTCTGGGTCGAAGTTGTCGCAGAAGGCCTCCAACTTGTCCTTGCTCTCCTGGTCACAGGCGGCGGCCTGCTGCAGGCCGGTCTTCTGGACGACGGCGGTCCGGTGCTGAACCTCCAGCTGCCTGTACATGTACTGGGTCTGGCCCTTGTCCGTGATCTCGACGACGTCTCCCTCGCGGAGGGCTTTCAGAAAGGCCGTTTCTGATCCGCACTTCCCCACCATAATCGCCTTCGGGTAAGACTTCTGCTTCGTCTTCCCCAAGACGGAGCGGTAGTGAGAAGTCAAGGTCTGCACTGTGGGGTGGTTCTCGTTGATCTCCCACTTGGTCGTCGCCCCGGGCTTGACGACGTCGTTGATCAGCTTGGTCTTCGCGGCCTGAGACTTATATCAGGGCCACACACGAAAAAATGAACTTATGATTTTTATCTTAGCCCTATAAACCCTAAACCCACTATGCAGACCAATCATGTCAAGAAACCCGGGAGACGTCTTTGCTCCGGAAGAAGTTCTGCAGCTCCGACGACAAAGTTGGCAAACTCTTCTCGAAGAACCAAGCCTTACGCCTGTCACGGGTCTGCAACTCCTCACCAGCAGCCTTGGCCGGCGGAACGTCCTCTGGAAGCTCCGCAACGAGGGCCGGCTCGCTCTCGTAGCACTTCGCTGGGCTTCTTCTTTTCGGGCTTCTTGTTGTCAGGCTCCTCAGCCGGCTTTTCTGTGGCCTTCCGTTTCTTCTCTGTCGGGGCCTCTGGAACCTCAGTCTCCTCTGGCGGCTCTGCCGCTGCTGCAGCCTTTTCTTGCTCCGTGTCGACCGCCGTTGCTTTGGCCTTTGCTTTGCCCTTGGCTTTGGTCTTGGGTTCGGCCTTGCCTTTGGCCTTGGGTTCGGCCTTGGCTTTGGCCTTGGGTTCGCCCTTGCCTTTGGCCTTTTCTTTTGCCTGGGCTTTGGGCTTTCCTTTGGCCTTCGCTTTGGGCTTCGCTGTCTCCGTCTCGTCCGGCTCGCCGACCTTCCCTTCGGCCGTTGGGTCCTCGACCTGGCTGTCGGGCGGGGCTTCCGCCTGTGACTTCTGGGAGTCCTCTAGCAACGTCTGGGCAACCGCAAGCGGGTCTAGCACCGAGCCGGTCTCGACGGTTAAGCTGAAAGCCAGTGGCAACTGCCGTCCGCCTTCGACTTTCGGAGCCATGGCTGCAGGGCACGGCTCTACGAAGTCCACTCGTCCCTAAGCTGTCGAAGCCACAAGAAGCTGCAGTCGATCGTTGCCGGACAAGCCCCGCAACACGAAATATGCAAATTAACCGTAGTTTAATAGTTAAAAATTAACTATTATAGGTAATAGGTAATTCAACAAAAATTAACTATATAGTTAAAAATTAACTTGCCTATAGTCAAAAGTAGTAAATTGCCTATTCGGAGCCTAGGGGTATTATCGAATTTGTAAATATACTTGCACGGCCGGCGTGCGCATGCGTAACGCAAGCAGAATAATATCCAACAGTGTAGTAACTTTACTAGGATTATTAACGAAATTCAGTGAGACCAATAAGTGCCTGTTTGACATGTGCGCCCGGCGAGTGCACCTACACACTGTGGCGCAGACACAGGTTCAAGGCATCAACTGCAGAGCTTACCTACATAGTAGATGAAAGCCATGAAAGCCATGAAAGCCATGAAGGCCATGAAGGCCAAGAAGGCCGCAAAGCAGGATGGCAACACGAGGGCAATGAAAGCCATGAAAGCAATGAAGGCGGCCAAGGTCCAACACAACGACGGCAATGTGAGGGCAATGAAAGCGATGAAAGCGATGAAAGCAAAGAAGGGCAAGCAGCGATCGGGTCAAAGTGGTCAAAGTGGCTGGCAAGCATGGCGAAAAAAGAAGGGTTCTGCTGAGAAGCAAGCTGTACTACATGCGCAGGCAACTGAAGGCGAAGAGGACAACACGGACAACACGGACAACACGGACAGCGAGCAGGAGCTGCCCGGAAACGAGAAAGCCACGCAAACACCTCCGATTATCAGACGTTTGCGAAGAGCACGTGACATTGAGGATCGCTTGAATTGCTTTGTGTCGGCATGCAAATACTTTCGTGTCGACATAGGCATGCTGGTCAGTATGGTTATTGTGATCACGACAGGACCTGCGACTGGAAGGATATGATTCCTGGCCCAGCAACCGTACCCGGGCTATCATTGGGAAGACTTTATTCTGCTCGTGGGCCGTTTTCTCAGAAAATTATCGCTGCTGCGGACCAACGGTCTGATTCGAGGTCGCGCGGTGATGGATTTAGGAAGCAACGAAGCATTAGACCTGGGCGGCTGCCTGATCTACAGACCGGCCGTGACATGCCTCCGGTGAGTGGTGTTGCCGCAGTGACTGGTATGTATTACTGCCGTTACATAGATCTGAGAAGTTCACCTAAAGAAGTAGAGGAAACTGTCACGGATGAGCGACAACGGATTCAGGGACAGTCTTTATAAGGACATGGAGTGTCATAATAATAAATGTATACTTTAGTAGGCGTGGGATGGACAATGTCACAGATGTGTCCCTGGACAGAGGTTCCACTTGTCCGGTTTCAGAGTGCTTTCACACAGACACCAGCTCTGAAGGCACAGATTATTTCCACGGATGTGTCCCTGGACAGAGGTTTCAATTGTTATGTACTGACTGCACGTCAGCTTCAAGATCAGACTGTCTGTCCGTTTCGTGCAAAATGTCGGTCATGTGAAGTTTGACATGCTCTGGGTAGCTGCACTTCTTAAACTAAACTCGCCGGTCACATGCCTCTAACACGAAAGGCCTACGTATTCCTCGCGACGGACAAGCACGACAACATGCTGACTGGAGGCAGGGCAGTGGAACGCTTTAAACTCGGTGGTACTGTGTCTGACACGAAATGCCTACGTATTCCTAGCGACCGGCCAGCACGACCGACGAGCACGACAACATGCTGACTGGAGGATGGGAAGTGGCACTTCGTAAACTTCGTGCTTCTTAAAAACATCATTCCAAACAAAGGAAAATGCGCGACACAAGAACTGAGACAGGAAACAGAATGGCAAGGTCAAAAAGAGTGCTGGTTAGAGCAACTTCTGAAACAGCGAACTTCGCGCAAACTCTTCATGTCTCAAACACGATCAATGAGGTGGCACCTACGTATATGCCCAGCAAACACAAGCTCCAGCACGACATGCTGACCGCAGGCCAGGAAGTGGCACTTCCTAAGACTCGTTGACAGCAAGGCAACTAGGAAGTCAGGAGGCAAAGATTCAGGCAGTCCTGCTACCCCCGCACAGGAATCCGAACCTCGAACATGGGGGAGCTTGGACACCGAACAGGGGTGTCGGGAACTCAGCCTGCTGTAGTTAGGCAGGTGGGCAAACGTGTCAAGCATGTCTGGCAGGACATTTAGTAGAAGATGATCCTCAAAGCGGAAGGTCATGGCCTCGGAGCATAATCAGAGATTGTGGTGGTCTGCGTGATCAGAATCTGAACCTGTGTCTGTGTGACGCAAGATTGTGACAAGTCAAGCAAGTGTAGCAGCTTTGAACACGCAGCTCCCGCCCCTAGTGATGGTGACCTTCGTGGAATTCCTAATTTTGGTGGTTCTGATGTTCGTGGGCATGTTCATGTACATGAAGCACCAGGACGACCTCGACGAGATCGCCGCCAAAAAGCAAAGAAAGAGAAAGGCCAAGGCCGAGGCGGAGGCAAGGGAGGAGGAGGAGGAATTGTTTCAACAGCGAATTGAAGCAGCAGCTCTGAGAGAACGACTGCAGGGCATGGAGAAGTGGATGCAGCAGACAAATGAGCGCTTAAAGGAGATCACGGACGTCCTTGGAAAGCTGCAGCTGGATACAGAGAACGCGAAGAAGAACCATGAAATCGATTTGAAGGAGCTCCATTACGACAAACTCATTATTTGGGAGGACATTCAGTGTCTTGGGCAAGGCCAGGTGGAGCTGGCGAAGCGCTTGTCGGTGCACGAGCAGAACCAGCACGAGGACAACGACCAGCCGGAGGACACCACCCACACAAGAAACGGACCAGGAAGTCATGGACATGGCCCACCAGTGCTACCACTACAGCGTCCGATCGAAGTGAAGCGGGACAAGGAGAGAAAGACCCAGCTGGAGGCTGCCGAATGGTGGGCACGTAATATCGGTGTGGCAGGGGACGGAAGCTTTATAGATGTGTGGATGGAGAAGTATAACAAGAAGGAAAGGAAGGTCCTGGCAAGCATGGGAGCAGTCCGAAAGAAGTTTTGCAACATAAGCCACGGATCAGACGCATTCATCGGCGCGGATGGAACTCGCTATGCAGACGTGGGCAACTACTGGTATTCCAGGGTACTTGACAACATGTACGGAAACCTGTCCGACTACGTAAAAGGCCTCAATGACGGAAGCAAAGGGGACCTCGTGGAGGCAGGCTTGGGTGCAGCGTACTTGGTTTTGGACGAGTATCAGCAAGACAACGACATCGATCAACGTGTTTGTCAGGCACAGTTAGAAAGACTAAGCCAGTTTCGATCCGAAGTCGAGGGCTGGGCCCTGAGGTTGGCTGGTGGACGTTGATTTCATTTATCAAGAACGAAAGTGATCAGCTTGCCGCCACCACAAGAATTGACCACGGATATAATATATGTACAGCGAACAATCCGCGGTCGAAGGAATGTCAGGTCAATGTACAGATCTGAGAAAGATTATAATAGCCGGACACGGTCACGGATGTGTCCGATGAATTCAGGGACATTGTTTTTGACATTTCATTCACGCATGTGTCCCTGGACAGAGGTTTCACATCTGACTTTCCGTCATGACGTGCAAAATGTCGCCCGCTTTCGGAGTGTGCTCCTACTCTCAAGACACATTTCCCTCCACCGCCCCACTATACACCTCAGTAAACCTCCACCCGGACCCAGGTCATGCGAGTTATTTCTACTGCAGCGGATGCCTTGGAGAGTGGCGCAGCTTGGATTATTAAGCGGCACGTCTTAAACTAAACTCGCTGGTCCTGTCTGTGACACGAAAGGCCTACGTATCCAACACTACCGACAAGCACGACGACATGCTGATTGGAGGCAGGGAAGTGGAACGTCTTAGACTCGCTGGTGATGTCTTTTACACGAAAGGCTGACATATCAAACACTACTGACAAGCACGACAACGTGCTGACTGGAGGCAGGGAAGTGGCACGTCTTAACCTCGGTGGGTACGACGACAGGGAGGCGGGGATTTAAGAAATGCTGGGTGGTGCTTCGAGACCTACAAGCATGAACGAAGCGAAGAGAAGAGAAGAGTGAACAAAGCCCACAAAAGAAAACAAAAGAGGAATGAGGGTGGAATGTGTTGTGTGGTTTTTTTTCGCTTATTTCTCGCTTCATTCATTCGGCTCCGTTCTTTCGCTCTCATTGCATTGAAAATAAGTGAACCCGAAAACACTACACAATACAATAATCCATTGACAAGCTACTGCATTAAAGGACACAAGAAAGCAAGAACAACATGGAATGGAATGGAAGCATTTGAACATATTTGAACGTAATGAAATCACGGCTCGGGGGAATTAAAGTAAACACACCCCACCAAGTACACCAGCAATGGTTTCCAAGGTTGACCGTTCACACGTGGTTTCAGTCAAGAGAACCAAAACCTCGCTTCGGCTCTCTCTCCGTTCGCTCAGATTCTGTTTTTGTCCGTTATCAACCACTTACTCACTTCATCACTTGCTTTCTCAGAGGATAATAGGTGGAGAGTTTACTGTTGGTTGGTGGCAGAAGGCAAATTACTCCAAGGAATTACGAACGGCATTAACATGTCTTTTGTCTGGGTGTGTCGTTTGCTTCGTCTATTACATTCACGCATACTCTTTGTTCCTTTGTACTTTAACAAAAAAACAAAATGAAACAGAAGATGGTGGGTTAATTCGTTCGTATTTTGCTTGCGTTCTGTACGCTGAAATTTGGCCTTTGTTCCGTGCGTTGAATCTAAAGCAAAAAGAACTAAGGGAAAGGTACTAAGATTTAGTAAGATGATTCTGACTTCAATAGTAAAATAATAATAGCTATTAGTTATGTCGTGTGTGAAACCTAAACATAACAGGAGTATAACTGTATGGCTGGTTGTCAAAATTGGTGTCCCGTTTAGGGTACCTTAAATATTAGGCGCCCCATGTCTTGAAGC